CAGCAACTTAGTTCTGGGGACTTTCTGCATGGTGCAGGATGGGGGAGGAGGTCAGGAGACCCGGGTCTGTGCAGTTCTGACTGTGCAGGCAGCACGCTCTGCCCTGGGACTCACCGTGCCCTTCCCCCAACCACAGGACGGCATCGCAAAAGTAAGTTGCTGGAGTGCAAGAGCCCCCACTGCTCAGGCAGCACACACGCCAGCTGTTTGGGAAGGAGGAGTGCAGTCGCACACTTCCTGGAACCCAGAGGTGCTGCAGGATTGCCATGTATTGGTCTCAGCTGCCCCTGTCCCCGCCCAAACCCCCCACAGCTACCCTGTTCCCTGCACCCACCAGCACTGTCCCCAGCACCCAGCAGAACCCTGTCCCTGGCCCCAGCACCCTGCCACCCACCCCAAGAACCAGCACCACCCTGATCCTTATCCCAGCACCCTGCCAGCCACCCCAGTGCCCAGCAGGACCATGTCCCTGACCCCAGCACCCTGCCACCTGAGCCAGCATCCTGCCACCCAGCCCCAGCACCCACCAGCACTCTGTTCCCTGCCCTCACCAGCACAGTTGGGATCACATTAGTGAGGCTTGGGGGTTTTTGGAACAGACTTTTCTGGTTCCTGGCCCTTCTCATAAATAAAGACAATGCTAAAACCTTTTGAGTTTAACCCACCCCCCCTTTTTTTTTTTTGCTTGAAAAACTTAGGGGTTCCTTGAAATTCTGAAAAGGGTTCCATGACCAAATAAAATTGGGAAACACTGGGTCAGATATGAGGAAAAACCCCTGCCAGTCACCCTAGTGCCCAGCAGGACCATGTCCCTGACCCCAGCACTCCGCCACCTGACTGCCCCAGCACCTTGCCCAGCACCCCGCCACCTGAGCCAGCATCCTCCCACCCAGCAGCACCCTCTCCCCGGCTCCAGCACCCACTAGCACCTTGTCTCCTGCCTGCACCAGCACAGTTGGGACCACATTAGTGAGGCTTGGGGGTTTTTTTTTGCATCTCACTGGTGTGGCCTCAACTGACTTTCTGTGGGTCAGTGGCCCTTGACTCAAAACAGGTTCCTCACCCCTCTCATAAATAAAGACAAAGCTGAAACATTTTGAGTTTGACATATTTTATTTAAAAATGAAGCCTGGCCAACAAGCCCCCAATTGGGGCCAAAGCCCCATTTCGCTGCAGCATCATAACACTCCTTCACCACCTGACCCAAATCTGAGCCTATCATACACTGGAACCCCCTGTCCTGAGCCTCTTACATCCCCAAACTCCTGCATCCCCACATCCCCAATCTTCTGCCACAACACTCCTGCACCATCCACACATCACAAATCTGCATCCTGAGCCCATCATACTCACGACCTCCTTGCCCTAAGCCCCTCACACACCCCAACCCAAACTCCTGCACCCTCACATCCACAAGCCTGTGACTTGCTCGGCACCTCAACCTTCCACCTGAGCCCAATACTTCCCAGCCCCCTCTCCGAGCCAACATCTCCTTCTCTTGCACCAAAATTCCCTCCCAGAGCTTGCACTTCTCACACCTTCCCACATCCAAATCCCTCATTCCCACCCCAGAGCCCGCACCTCCTGTTTCAACCCAGTGAGAGTGTATAAGGGCTGGGGATAGCAAGTGATGGAGAGGAGGGGAATAGAGAGGGTAGGACCTCAGAGGGGTGGGGTATTAGGGAAGGAATAGAGAGGGTGGGACCTCAGAGGGGTGGGGTATTAGGGAAGGAATGTGATTTTTATATATTGGGGGGTTCCCCTTTCTCTCTCTCTCTTTTTTTTTTTTTTTTGCTTAACAAACCTAGGGGTTCCTTGAAATTCTGAAAAGCTGAAAAGGTTTCCTTGGCCAAATAAAATTGGGAAACACTGCTCTAGCACTACTGTGATTATCTGTTTATTTGTCATCTTCTACAGGTGGTGAAGGCCATCAACACCATCCTGTTGTGCAGAGTCATCCACCTGGGCGTTGTGGGCTCCATCATCATCAGTTTTGCCACCATGGGTGCTGATGGCACCCACATCCCCATCCAGACCCCCAACCATTGGGCATCTCACTACATAAACCGCAGGAGCTGCTTTTCCATGGTCCTGTAGGCCCTGGTTGACCACCATGGGCAGCTTACTGACATCTATGTCATATGGTCAGGGAAGGGGAACAACCCCTGTGTCTTCAGAAACTCCAGCGTCTTCCAGAAGCTGGAGGCTGGCACGTTCTTCCCCAAGTGCATCATCGAGTCAGAGACATAGACATGTTCCTGTGATTCAAGGGAGACGTGGCCTACCTTCTCATGCTGTGGCTTATGAAGCCTTTACCCTAGCAAGGACCGCTTTAATGTCAGGCTCAGCAGGGCCCACATGGTTGTAGAGGGCACCTTTGGGCATCTCAAGCTGAGGTTCAGATGCCTCGTCACCCAGCTGGATGCTGGGCCACATGTTGAGTGCTTCACAACAAATATGAGCAGAAGGGGGAGGCATTCTTTTCTGGGTGGAGGGCAGAGGCAGGGCCTTTGAATAGCCGGGCACAGCTGCTATCTGGCAGGCGCATCTGGCAGGGCTGCACATCCAAGAGACCCTGAGGGAGTTTCACACAAGGACCCTAGTGACACTCTCCCCAGGGCCTCCCCACTAGGGACCTGTGCCTTGCCCCTCTGCCTTTCCTCTCTCACCCCTCTCTTGCTCCCTTCCCCAATTCCCCGCAAAGACAATAAAACTGACACTTTCAAAAAACAAACAAACAATAAACTGTGTGTGATTTTTATTTGGGGTCAAAGTAACTGGGAGAGGAAAGTGGTGGGAGGGTGGAGGGGAGCGGATGACACTTCCAGTGAGGAGGAGAGGCTCAGAGGTGGGATTGGGATTGGTGCCTGGGTCGAATGGTTCCACTGCTTCGAGTGCAGGGATCTCAGTGACCACAGGAAGGGGGAAAGCTAGGAGGAGAGGCAGAATGTGGAGCTGGAACAGGGTCAGGAATGGTAGGAGGGGCAGGGACTGGCTCCAGGTGGTCGAGGAGAGACTTGATGGTTGTGCACATGGTGTGGCCCTGCTGCAGCATCTCCCACCTGGTCTCTCTGCACAATTGCATGTCCACCTGGAGTCTCTGGTCCCGTGTCTCATGCAGGGCCCGGAGCACAGTGATGTGCTCCTGAAGCAGTTCTTTCTGCGTCCTCCAGTGCCTGCAGCTCCCCTGGTGTTGGGCGGCTCTTCCTCCTCCCCACAGCTCTGCCCCCTGGGTAGGCAGCTCTGAGCTGACCACCAGGAGTGGGAAAGGGGCTACATCACCCCCCAGGATGTGATGCAGGTTCAGGTAATAGGTGCAGGATTGTGGTTTCTGCCCTGGAGCGGGAGCTGCACTCCCTTGCACTGGAATAGGCCTTGTGGATCTCCTTCACTTTAATACAGACCTGCTCCTGTGTCTGGATGTGGCCCTTTCTGGCCAGACTGTCAGCCATGCAGCCAGAGACATTGTCATTGGACTGTATGGTGCAGAGATCCTGGAGGTTTTCCTCCTAGTCCCACACCTAAGTGAGGGTCAGGCTCTCCGCCCCAGACCAGGATGGCACATGCCTCTTTTGCTGCCTAGCAGGCTCCTGGGAGCCATCAGATTGCTCCCTGGGAGTGGGAAAGAGCTCTTGGAGGGTTCAAGAGTCACTCATGATAGTGCCTGGAGTGGTTGTGGCAGTAGCAGTGTGGCTGGAGGCTGTTCATGTCAGCTTCCTGCCATAAGCTCTTTCCCCTGTGCCTGCAGCTTTGAGGGCTGAAGGGAAGAGGAGCTATAGAGTCCTGAGGAGTTTGTATGGAGAGGCCTGCAGGGCACCTGTGGGATTTCTTGGAGGCCCCTTAATTCAAAATAACTCCAGCTGCTGCATCCACATACTCCCTATTTTGAAATAGCTATTTTGAAATGGGCATTATCCCTCATGAAATGAGGTTTACAAATTTCGGAATAATCCGTCTTATTTTGAAATCATTTTGAAATAGAGAATTGCTGTGTAGACACTCCCATTGTTATTTCAAAATAACTATGCTGTATAAACGCACCCTGCCAGAGTACTGCCCCAAATGCTCCATGGGCCTCTGAGGACTGGGGGAGACCTAGCACCATGGTCCAAGCAACACTGAGGGCTGTTTGCCCCCAGCCCTACCTCTTTTGCCTGATCCCCCACATCTTCTGGGTGCTGAGAGCTGCAACCGTAAACACATCTAGCTGTAAGTGCCCATGGTGTCTGTCCCACTGAGTGCAAAACATGGGGCAAAACTAAAGAAATCTTTGGTTATCAAATCTAGGACTTTTAGCTCAGGCTGGAACATTCATGATTTTAGATCAAGAGAGCTGTGAGAACCAAAGACTGAACAATGGGTTCTGGACCCAGACTTCTTATTGAGAAATTAAATTTTGTATTTTTTTTAAATAAATCTTATTAAAACTCATAAACAAAATCAATAAAACATAGTGCCAAAGTGACGCTGAGATTACTCATATTAAATTGCAAATTAAGTAACACAACTACCCAATCAAACTTAAAAATCAACAAATTAGTCTGAACACTAGATTGGATTCAAATAGTCAAATTAATTGCGATAGACATTATCAGTCTTTAAAAGTCCTAAAGAGGTTTTTGAGAAAGTGACTATTTGATAAATGTCACTGTGTGGAGATGTAAACAAATCCTTATGCATTTACTTGGGAGGACAGTGGGAGTCTCTCTGGCATATAAGGATTTTTTAACTGAATTAGGAATATTTTAACACTGGCCAAAAACAGTAAACATTTTTTGTGTGGGGGCAAGGTAATGGTGAACATGGTAGGTATGCTGTTCTGGCATACTGTAGGGAGATTCTGAACAAGCTTCTTCATTGATCTATCTTGTCCCAAGGAAAGACGTATTTAAAGAACCCATCACTTTCACACTGTTTCTGAATATCACGAGGGCCTTATCATGTAAAGTGCATTTGAGCTCTATGACTTGAAGATGTTGAAAGATTTCTCTATTTTTCAGGACAAAAACCTAAAAAGAAGTGTCACAAGTCCAGCTTCTGTGTCAGACTGGCTGACTTCTGGTAACATGGCGCCAGGAGCAAGTACTATGGATAAAGGGAACATGCAGGCAGAGAACCATCATCCAAGGCAACGGACATGGAGTGCCCGCACATTTCATGACTTGCTGGCTCCATTACCTCAGTTACAGAAAAAATGGTATAGCTGGACTACTAACAGCCCCTTCACTAAGCTGGTAGACAGCAGTGTAAGTATCCACAAGAACTACATGTTTCCTTCCCTTCCCAAAAAAGCAATACTTTATGCATGAGAAAATACAGAAGCATAATGTTAACTCTATAACAAGCACACTTGGCATGACATCTGCAGAATCAGAGAGACAGCTATTCACCATGGGTCTGTGGAATCCTTGCAGTGTAGCAGTAATATGTAAATTAATAGAAACCTAAAATATAATCATAAAATTGTGCAGAATGACTCAAGATGATCCATTCTATAGAAATAATTAGCAAATTTAAAGGAAAATAATCCTTCATTCAGATGCTTAGCCCTGAGTTGCAGCTTCTCAGTGCTACAGTATCAAATCCCAAATGAAGTGTATTATGATAAAGTGAATTAACAGTCTCTGTCTCTCTTGTGTGCACACACATGCGCATAGGTGTGCACAGGGGGTGTGCTGGGTGTGCCCAGGCACACCCTAATGTCTCAAAAAAAAAAGTGGCTTTGCGTTTTAATTTAATCGCATGATATGCTCTTTTAGTTTTAGAGTATGGATTGTTGTATTATTCAATAAGCACCGAATGCATAAATGTAGAGAAAGCCCACGTTCGCTCGCAGCATGTCCTTTATGATCGAGTATTCAATAAATGTTTGCCAATAAAAAATAAAATTTCCTGGATGCACACTCTAATGAAATGTACTGTGTATGCCTATGCACATGCATCCAGGGCCTCACCCTTTTCAGCTGCCATGTGACATAAAGGGCCCCTATGGAAGCTGTCTTTAATACTATTAGGAGCATGATGCCTGAATCTCACAACTTCTGTTCTTGGTCATGCTAAGTGCACCATGAAATTTCAGTTCTTAATTCCCTAAGGTTAAAGGTTTCTTAGACTGATGGTGTTCCAAGTATTAACTTTATTATTTTGATAGGGTCTTTCTACATCTACAAGAAACCAGAGTGCAACAACCAGACAAGTAATTTCAGCCACTGAAATAGAGGGAATCTCAGATGGTGTTTATTCTGACTCGTCCGCCAGCACTGCATCATATCTGCTCACTCAGTCTACACAAAGGCAGGGAAAACTGAGCTCTTCTAGCTTGAAGAAATCCAGGTTTGGGAACCCTTACTTTGGGTTTTTAACTAGTTCTCCTGATTGCAAGCAGATGAGGTCCTTGGATTCCTCAAGACATGTGGGGATGACACCTCCACTTGACAGCCAAAGCCTGGGCCCTGCTGGCTTCAAAAGCAACTTAATCAACTGTTCGAAAACCAAGGAGCTCTCATTAGAAATGGACAAATCCAAACCAACTTTTGCTATTTCTGAAGAAGGAGATGACCAGCAACCTTTGGTCCTAGCAGAGCACCTGAGTCAGTGTAGAGATACTCTGTCTGAGCAAAATGTTGCATATGCTTCAGTGAAAGCTATGCCTGATAAACAGCCAATAGTCTTGACTGTTCAGGAAGACAGCTCAGCCAGGCCTCCCAATTTCTCACTGGATCTCCCCATTTGGGAAAAGTCTCCCAATTTGTATGGAGAACACATGAAAACCCACAGCTCTTCCAGGGTCCAGTGCAGCTTGCCTATTGCAGACGTGGATACAATTGAGTCACTGCAGAATTTTGACTCGTTAGCTGCTCATACACTCTGTCAATCATTGGTTCAGTGAACCTTCCAGAGCAACTAAAGCAATCTGAGAGAACAGATCCAATAAGGACCACAGCGGTTCCCTTTTTGGCTGGAGAAGAAGCTTCTGTGCTTACAGAGAGTAGCAAGTATGGACAGAGGAAACTTCCCCTCCCGCCCCCCATCAGCAGATTAGAATTATGGGAAAAGGTAACCTAACAAAGCACAAAACAAAGTTGTCTTTTCGCACACTCAGTTGGACCTAATGTACATGACAATCATGTTCTCAGTCCTATTCTCCCACATGGAATTTTAATTGTAGCTTATGAAAGAGTGGCAAGTGATTCCTCTAAGAAGGTATTTAATACTAAGTAATTGTTTTCTGGTATTTTTGGGGAAAAAAATCAATGATCTGATTGATTACTTGGCATCATTGTTCCCTGTAAGCTTGGACAGCCACCCAGGAGGGATTCAGATTCTACCCAGCTGATTAGCAGAACACCCACAGCCGCACACCATGTATTTCTACTGATGGTGCACATCCATATGTATATCAGTGCACATATAATTTATTCCACATATAGATGGAAAAAATTAAAGGGGGACATTGCTTGTCACGTCACTTAAAATGTAGACCAGTTCTCGGGGTTACTGTGGTGTCACTTTTTTCTTTGCTGCAAGTTATGAACCAAATTCTGCTCTCATGTCAGCTAAAGCGGACTCTAGGTATCCAAGAGTGGAATTTGGACTTGCATTTTTATACATAAAAAGTTAACTGTAAAGTGTTCAAATAGTTGGAAACCATTCCACTTCAGTACAAAGTCTTTTTCATCTCTATTTCTGCTTTTGTGATGCCAATATTTTGTACCTCAGTCCTGTTTTGTGACACCAATATTTAAAAAGGGCTCTAGAGGTGATCCTTGTAAGTCTAACATCAGTACAGGGCAAATTAGTTGAAACTATAGTTAAGAATAGAATTGTCAGTCACATAGGGTACGTCTAGGCTACATGCCTCTGTCGCCAGAGGCATGTAGATTAGGCTACCAGACATAGGAAAATGAAGCGGTGATTTAAATAATCGCCACTTCATTTAAATTTACATGGCTGCCGCGCTGAGCCGACAAACAGCTGATCAGCGCTGAGCCGACAAACAGCTGATCAGCTGTTTGTCGGCTCAGCGCTGTAGTCTGGACGCGTGGGTGTCGACATCAAAGGCATTTGTCGACCACCCAGGTAAACCCCATCCCAGGAGGCATACCTGGGTGGTCGACAAATGCCTTTGATGTCGACACCCACGCGTCCAGACTACCGTGCTAAGCCGACAAACAGCTGATCGTCTCAGTGCGGCAGGCATGTAAGTTTAAATGAAGCGGCAATTATTTAAATCGCCGCTTCATTTTCCTATGCCTGGTAGCCTAATCTACATGCCTCTGGCGACAGAGGCATGTAGTCTAGACGTATCCATAGATGGACATCATTTATCAGGGAAAAGTCAACATGGTTTCTGTAAAGGGAAATCATGGCTTACTAATCTGCTACAGTTTTTTTAGGGGAGTCAACAAACATGTCTAGGGTCAACAAATGTGGACAAGGTGGATCCAGTGGATAAAGTATACTTAGATTTCCGGAAAGCCTTTAACAAGGTCCCTCCCCAAAGGCTCTGCAGTAAAGTAAGTTGTCATGGTATAAGAGAGAAGGTCCTTTCATAGATTGATAACTGGTTAAAAGAAAGGAAACACACGGTAGAAATAAATGGTCAGTTTTCCGAGTAGAGAGAGGTAACTAGTGGGGTCCCTCAAGGATCTGTCCTGAGACCAGTCCTATTCAATCTATTTATAAATGATCTGGAGAAAGGGGAAATAGCGAGGTGGCAAACTTTGCAGCTGATACTAAACTGCTTAAGATGGTTAAGACCAAAACAGATTGTAAAGAGCTTCAAAAATATCTCACAAAATTAAGTGACTGGGCAACAAAATGGCAAATGAAATTTAATGTTGATAAATGTAAAATAATGCACATCAGAAAAAATAATCCCAACTAAGTCCCCATCATTTTATATATATAACTCATCAAGAAAGAGATCTTGGAGTCATTGTGAATAGGTCTCTGAAAACATCCACTCAATGTGCAGCAGCAGTCAAGCAAACAGAATGTTAGGCATCATTAAAAAGGGGATAGAGAATAAGACAGAGAATATCTTATTGCTTCTATATAAATCCATGGTACATCCACATCTTGAATACTGCATACAGATGTGGTCGCCTCATCTCAAAAAAGATATATTGGCATTGGAAAAGGTTCAGAAAAGGGCAACAAAAATAATTAGGGGTTTGGAAGGGCTCCTGATGTATCACTACCACCCTCTGATGCACCTTGTAAATGGTGGTTCCGTTAAATCAGGGGTTCACAACATTTTTTAAACTGCGGACCAGCAAACTTTTGGCAGACTGGCAACATTTTATTTGCATATTTGCATGAATAATGAATATACAAATATGCAAATAAAATGTTACCTGTCCACTGACCCACTCACCCATCAACCCTATCTTGAACATGCCTTTGCTTCCAGCCTTCTGACTCCATCCAGCCAACTATATCTCTGAATTATTAAACCTGCCAGACCCATCATCTATATCCTCTATATCCCACTAACTATTACCCCACAAGCCTATCATCCCAATGCCCATCGCCTCCCAACACCCCCTTCCTTTTGTCAACCTCTTCTGTCTTGCTTGGAGCCTGTCCTGCATCCACTGTCAGCTTGGCATGTTGTGTCCCGGCAACTCCTGACTTAAATTGACAACCTCACATTTCCCTGGATCTTGCCCCAGCACTCCCAGTGCTCCCTGATCCTGCCCCATTATCCCTTGCTCCACAAACTCCATCACTGCCTGTTGTGCCAAACCCTGATACTGCCCCACTGACCCTGTTTCACAAGCTCTGAGGCTCCCTGACCCTGCTCAGACACCCTCAGATCTGCTGCCCCCTAAGACAGAAGCATGAGCTGCACACCTGTCTCCATAACCACTGACCCACTGCAACCCACCCCATCTTGCCCTTTTATTGCTAACCCCAACCCAGCCCCTTGCTTCCCAGCACCTAACACCCTTTGACCTCTACCCCATGCCCTTTCACCCTTTAACCTCTGACCCCTATTGCCCATGGCAACAACCTCTTGCCCTGTGACCCCACCACATGCTCACCCAACAGCCCTTTGTCCTTTGACCTCATCCCCACAATCCCCAGAGTGCGGCAGCCCCCTCCAGGGAGTGTGGCCATTACTGCGGTGCAGAAAGAGGGCATGGCCATTGGCGGTGCACGCTCCCTCCTCCTTTGCACCCCCATGGGTAGAGGCGGGGAGGGGAGCACAGAACCTCCATCCAGACTGCCATCTTACCTGGGGGAGAAGGGGAGACGCCTCCTGTTCTGCTTCCTCAGCGCCGCCACTAGGCAAAATCAGCCACCATGGCTGCCAGAATTGAAGCCAACTGCTGAATGATGGCTCAGAGGGCCCCAGCCTATAGAGCTTCCACAAACAGCTGGCTTCAGTTCTGGCATCCACCCTGGCCCAGCATCAGTCCAGCAGTTAGGAGCCACTGTGTTAAAACATTATTATCCATCATGCTGACATGCTAGATCCCATTCTGAACCTGGGTTAGTATGTCTGTTATCTGTAGGGAATGCAGTAGTACCAAGATACCTCATAGTTACGTGTTCTGTTACCATCCCTCTGGAATGTGTTAGTGGCCTCTGCCTAGTACCTCTTTGATATGAGGAGTGTTTTTGCAATAGCTGCCCAATTCTTGCCAACTTCTGTGAGCAAAGCCTGCCTCTTGCTCACAACTTAATTTTGCTCTATATTAGCAAAGTCTTGACCATTGTTGCCTAGGCCTCTAACTTCACAGCAGGCCTGTGATATATGGACTTGCATTTTAGGCCTTTTTATTACTACAGCTGTGTAGGTTTGAATAATTAAGGGAACATTCCTCATGGCAATAGGATATTATAAACAAACATGTATTCACTTGCAATAAAGGCTTCAGCATCTCATGCTTTGTAATACTTGCAGCTGCTATTGTTTTAATAATGTATCAAACCAGGTATTGTTAACTCACTGACTACAGAATTCCTTCCTTTAGCAGGCAAGTTTTTTTAAAAAGGCAAGCAAATACAAGTGGGACAGACTTCACAGCCCTCTTTTGAAATGAATTCCTTAGTAGCTGTGCCTCCCTGATTACAAATTCAGGGCATGAAATGAAAGACTGAATCAAAGGGAAGCCTGGTAATTCGATTGCCTTTAACAACCCAATCAGCATTTTAATTGCCTCCCACTGATATTTTCCGATGTTAGCAAGAAATGTGTGCATATTTAACCCACAACTAAAAGCATTTCACTTTCCTAACTGAAAGGATCATGTCACATAAAGCTGACTGCAGCTGGTTTAAGTTGTTCTAAAAATTGCTAGAAGGCTCTAAATATGTGATAAACAGATGCCAAAGGTAGGAAAAATCCTCATGCAATCTACCCTGTATCCACTATACTAGGAGTTGAATGAGTGGAAATTAATATTTCTATTCATAGACATCTAAACCTGCCTCTTGAAATATTTAACCCCAGTTTGGCCCTGATTTATTTAAGATTTCACCTGCTATTCCAGCTTCCATCTGACACCTATTAATGTCTGAGAGGAACAACACATGGGCTTAATTTTGTCTGGCATGCTTTATGTGTAAAAATAGAAGCACTGTTTTTATAGTGGCTGAAAGGAAAGAATATCCCATAGCACCTTATTTTTTTAAAAAACAGAACTACACAAGATTTCAGTTAGATATTATTACTGCCAGCCTGCATTTAGCTGAATGTTTAAGTATAAAAAAAATCTGCCTTCTGCTTTTTTTATTCACGTGACAAGAGCTAAAGGGAAGAGCTAATATATTTAGAGAAATCTGCAATGTTCTATATATTCTAATTAAC